AATCAAATGTGGAACAATTATTGCAAATAATATAAACAGTGCTTTATCATTAAATAACTCCTTTACCTTATGTAGTACTGCAATAGATTTTGTTATTTTTGTTAAGTCATTTATATGAGGTTTCCAGGTCAGGTTTTCATCAATAATAACATCCAAAAACTTTACTTCACTAACTTTGCAGATCTCCACACATCAACGTTAAATGAAACATCGACCATTCCTTTTCTATTACTGAATATCATATCATTTGTTTTGTCCAAATTTAGTGATAATTTGTTAAGCTTAAAYTAAGTTTGTATTTTTACAAATACAAATTTTACAAATTCTGTCTGAATCATCCATTTCTTTCAGTGCCCGGGGATGGATCTGTCCCTCCTGCATAATGACTGCTGGAAAAAAGACAGCGTTAAAAAATAAATAAATTTGAGACTGGAGCTGTTTTAAGATGGTAATGATCTGCTTTAGTGTTGGCTGCATTTGCACTAGCCGTTAGCTCATTTGTCCTGTTCAGCATAAAAATTATTCCTACAAAGTGAGGTTGTCCAAATATCTATAACAGGTAGGATTTTATTTACTAAGAATTTTTTTCTCAGAAACTGCTGCCAAAATGATGACTTATCCCCTTAATACTWCTCAAATTAAAGCTCACACTGAATTCTCTCTCTCACTATATATTGGTTATAAATTAATTGATTTTTTTTTCTTGCAGAACGGTCTGAATGGTGTAAGAACCTCTGCTGCTCTCGACAGTGAGTTCCCTCTCATTATCACTGCTTCCTATTTCATTTGTCTCATTAACTCGCCGACAGATAGAGGCCTTGTTAACAACGGGAACAGCTTTACTTTTATGATGCTTTAAAATCTGAATTCAAATCTCCAAATCATTTTGTCAGGCGGGACACCTCAAAAGTCGTGTTTTTTTTTTCAATTGTTTCTTTGCAGCTTCTTCAACTGCTTCCACACCAAAGCCCGAGCCGTCGTCTGTGAACCTCAACACTAACGGCCCTTCGGTCCCCTCCTCCCACCTGCCCCCCTCACTGCCTGCACACAGCTCCACCACGCTCTCCAACCTGGCACAGGACCTGCAATCATCGGGTCAACTCAACTCACTAAACAGGTCAGGCCAGTCGGTCTAGAAATATCCCTGTGTACAAAATTGTGCTGTTTGGACTGAACTTGTCTTACTGTTTGCTTTCAGTTGCTGTGCAGTGTAAATAATTAGTTCTTCTGTAATGATTGGGATGATGAAGTTGGAAATTTTCTTTTTTTTTTCCATCACCTTGCAGTCACGGCAGCAGCCACTCCTCAGTTTCAGCTCTGGGATCAAGCTCTCTCACTGTAAGTTTTAGTTTGATGTTCTACCTGTGTGATGCTAATTCRTGTAAAATATCTTGCTCGATACAAAAAGACACATAGATTTAGCACTAAAAACAAGCAACATGGTGGAAAAAGGAAACTTTACTGGAGCGAGAGTGTGTTAGAGMTTTAAATTTGACTCAGACACCACAGAAACAAAGCATTAATTTATTTGATGTTTGATTTATTTGAACGTTCAAAGTTCAACTAAACTGCTGATGTTGGATTTAAACAAGCGTTTCACTTCATTTATTTATTCAAATTCAAAATGTATTTATTCATTTCATTTAAAAAAACAAACAACTAAATAATTCAAATCAAATAAAATGAAAGGTAGCAGATAAAAGATCTTATATCTGCTCCTATTTACAACAAAAAATTGATATTAATTTCAAACAATAATAAACCAAATAAAACAAAAACAAAAATTCAACTCCTCAAACAGTAACTCATACAAATACAAATTAAACAATTTCATATTTCTTTATCAATTTTGCTTTGATCATTTTTTAAAGGAATTAATTGATCCAATGATTTTATAATCACTTTCCAGATTGTTCAATAGTCTTGTACTTTTTATTGAAGTGCATCTGTCCTTCAAAATTGTTCAAATTTTTGGTTTAATAAACATTTGCAGTCCCTTCAAATTATAGCAGCTTTCCCTCTTAACAAAATTTGATAGGATGTTTGAAGGTAACACATTTTTATGAGCTTTGTATATAACTTACAGAATATGATATTCAACCAACTCATAAAATTTTAATAATTTTAACTGATGAAACAATATATTCATTTATTTATTTAAAAGGACAATGCATATTAATTAATATCGATTGATTAATGATGCCTTTATTGTCATTGTACAGAGCAAAATGAAATTACATTTAAGAACACCCATTCAAGAAGACACACATGACAAAAACATGGGGGAACAGGTGATCAGGTTATGCGGCAACCAGCAGGGGTCGCACTACCTTTAACATTCTATGCATTCTTTGCATATTGTGTAAAACAGTTTAGTTTAAGCRAATGTGTGTAGAAAAACCTGTGTTGACAAATATTGGATCCATTTATTTATATTTGCAGTACACTAGCGTCGACAGCAGCAACGTGAGCTCTCTGGCTCCTTCGTCAAGCTCCTACACGTCATCGCAGCCCTCGAACGCACCGCTCCACCCGGCACACAGCAGCAGCAGCAACAGTAGCAGCAGCAGCATCGGCCACCTGGCCAACATGCCCAGCCTGGGCGGCGGTATGAGCAGCACAGTCGGAGGCATGACCGGCGCGGGTGGAATCCACGCCGCCGCCATCGCCACCAGCTCAGCGCTGGGACTCGGCTCCAATGGAGCCACTGCCACGTCCAACCTCTCTGCACCAAGGACCGCAGCCGTGCTCCCCTCCACTGGTACGCACACAACTCCAGACAGTAGCCTCAAACTGAAGCTGTGAGGTTTTCACGTAGATAAAAATAACAATAAAAATGTTGTGTTGACAGGTAAGGCTCCTCCTAACCTGTCCCAGGGTGTGCCTCCTCTATTACCAAACCAGTATATCATGGGTCCAGGGGGACTACTGCCTGCTTACCCAGTAAGTAGACCATCATGATCCACTATTGCACATGTTTATTTTGATTAGTTTTAACTTCTGTATGTGCAGTGTTTTTCCATGTTTATTAATTTAATTATAGTTCCTAACAAAAGAAGTAGATTTAAGTTAGAATAATATCCACTTKGATAATTTTTTATAAAACAAACCAATGACTTTGAACTGGTCAAATTTCCTGATTCAGAGTTTCTTCTAGCATTACACAAACTGGGAAGCCCCACCCCCATTGAGGTCATGGCATGTGATAAAACAGTAAWCATCTGTACATGGTCACATGTTACCAGTTCACTGTGGCTGAGGGAGACACCAAGCTGATACGTCATCACCCACCTACCCTGGCCTCGCTGAGACATGCATCTAAAATTTAACATTGTACTAAAAGCTTGTATTAAATATGTTGAACAGACACGACCAAACTCCAACAAGTAGAGAGAGAGAGTTCTACTGCTGCTTTAGTTCGTAGACTCAAACAATAATAACCCTAAAAGACGTATGTATGTGTGCCCAAGATTTTAAGTTTGTGAGGGTTTTGGAAAAAAGTTCAAAATTTAAACCCTTCCTGTGAGAGTGTTAGTTTTAAGTTCGTAGTTTATCATGAATATCTTCAAATTTCTATACAGATTATAGCAACATAAACAAGGTTCTGGTAATTTGAATGTGCTAGGTTTGTTTGTATTTAAAAACGTAAGCAGGACTGATTTATTCTGGCCCCATGCGGGAATTCCGGCTTATCTCTGAAAATAAAGAAGAARAAAAATCAGTCTCACCGAGCCTAAGGTTTAACATATACAGTATTTCTTTAGATTCAACAAAAGCGCATCTTTCCCTCTCAATCACACCAGACAGGCCTACCAGCCAATCAGAAACCAGGTGGGGGCGGGACTTAGAAAATCTGCAAACTTTGATTCAGAGAAGAAGTTTGAGCGGCTCAATGTTTTTTTTTTCCCACTATCAGCCCTGTGTACCGTGACATAACTGTACCGRGATGAACAATCAAACATGAAAAATTAACCTTTAAATTTACAACTATTTTAAATGACAACATGAGCTGAAATCCTTGAAATATAATCTCTTTAAATGAAATGGTCTCCACATTTTTTTTACCTACGAATTGCAGTAATTTTCATTTTACTTGGTAAATTTTGTTTTAGGTTTTTAGAGATTGTAATACATTTGTGTTGTTGTACGTATGACTGAGTGTTTTTATTCTTTGTATCCTGCAGCAGATCTACGGCTATGAAGACCTCCATATGTTACAGTCCAGACTGCCAATGGTGAGCCACATGATGTTTGCATGCAGAAGCGAAGCTAAATGCTACTTTTGATTTCAACGATTYGGTTTCTTCAGCCTTCTTTGCAGGATTACTATGGAATCACATTCCCAGGCCCCACAGCAGCTCTCTCTGGCAGAGACGGGAGCCTCGCCAACAACCCCTATTCAGGTGAACCTTGTACTCCTCTTTTCTAAAACCCAACAAGCCAGTTTGAGTCGTTGTTTCTCACACATCTCCGCCCCCTCCGTTGTTCAGGTGAAGTCACAAAATTTGGTAGGAATGACTCCACCTCGCCAGCACCCCCCACCAGCCTGGCTGCCCCGCAGCCTCCCCAGGCCCAAAGCCAAGGACAGACCCAGACTCAGCCTCAGCCTCCTCAGGCTCAGCCTCAGCCTCAGGGCCAACCGCAGCACCACAGCAGCCAGCAGGCCTTTCTGCCTCCGGGCTACAGCTACACGGGGCTGCCGTACTACCCCGGAGTGCCGGGCGCCGTGCCCAGCGCTGCCGCCTTCCAGTACGGCCCCACCATGTTCGTTCCTCCCGGAGGCCCGGGGCCGGCTTCRGCTAAGCAACACAGCATGGGACTGGGCCTGGGCAACCCCTCAGCCAGCCCCTTTCAGCAGCAGGCGCAGCAGCAGCCCAGCGGTTATGGCCAGCACGCTTTCAGCTCAGGTATATAATCTTTTTTGTTAAAGGGATTCATGATGAGTTGTAACATTAGACTTTATTTGAAAAATGTTTATTTTAAGTGTAAAATAAAGACCGTAAAAATACTGTAGGCTGTTTAGTTTTTATAATTTTTAAACTAAAAGTTTAAAAATATATTACACGGACAGGGCCATTTTATTTACACGCAAAGCATTCTGGGTAAATGATGACGTGGATAGGTCCTCGGTGTTAGCGAGCTATATCCACCCTGAAGATCTTGGACAAAATCTGATGATCGACTCTTTTAAATGAAACCAGAGAGCGTTGACAGAGAGGAGAAGGTAGAAATGACTCAGCCTGTAACTGAAAATATAGATGGAGGACAACAGAGCTGCTTCATGGAAGAAGAACCTCAGCTATATTGCCTTATATGTATTAGCTCAGCGCTAGCGCGACAAACAAGCTAAACTGAGGTCCTCCGTCCATATTTTCAGTTACAGACTGAGACATTTTTGTGTTCCCCTCTCTGTCATGTGGATGGAGGACCTCAGTGACGAGAGGAGAATATGTAGCGCTGAGCTAATACATATATATGGTGATAGCATCGGGGCTAATGCTAAAGCTAACAGGCTAAGCTGAGGTTCTTCTTCCATGAAGCAGCTCTGTTGTCCTCCATCTATATTTTCAGTTACAGGCTGAGTCATTTCTACCTTCTCCTCTCTGTCAACGCTCTCTGGTTTYATTTAAAAGAGTCAATCATCAGATATTGTCCAAGATTAACCTTCAGGGTGGATATAGCTCGCTAGCAGCCTCGTGATGACCTATCCACGTCATTTACCCAGAATGCTTTGTGTGTAAATAAAATGGCCCCATCCGTGTGACATATTTTTAAACTTTTAGTTTAAAAATGATAAGAACTGAACATCCTACAGTATTTTTACAGTCTTTATTTTACAGTTTAAATATATGTTTATCAAATAAAGTCTAATGTTACAACTAATCATGGATCCCTTTAATAAGGAATAAAGAAAGACGGCATGTAGCCGAAACGCGTCCTGTTTTCTTCCCTTTTTAAAAACATGGTATTTTTTGGAGTGCTGGTCATCCCATTGTTTTGATTCTTCAGAACCGGGCACCCATTTACTCTTWTCYCATTTTTGTAAGAAAATTTGAGTTGTGTGCACTAGAAATTTTTTTCTTATATAAACTGACTTTACCACTGCTTATTAGCTAACAAAAAGAAAACTGCCTTTAAAGCTTAATAATAAAATGTGTAATGTTCAGTTTTATTTTGCCTTTCCAGGTTATGAGGAGCTGACAGCAGGGCCAGCAGGAGTTGAGTACAGCAAAGGGTACAACTCCTCTTCACAGGCGCAAGCTAAATCTGCTGCTGCGGGGCCTGGGAAAGGTAGATTCTAAAAGGCTTTATGATTCAAGTTCTATACAAGTCAAAGGTGTAATTTCTTATTTAAATATACTTGCAGGTGTCTCAGTGACATCCAGTAACTCTGGTGTGCCAGACATCAGTGGAAGTGTTTACAATAAGACCCAGGTAGCCTCCTGAGCTGAATTTTACAACAGAACCTGTTGTTTTGCTCCAGCAGTAAMGTTTTCTTCTGTCTCCAGTCTTTCGATAAGCAGGGTTTCCACGCAGGGACCCCGCCTCCCTTCAACCTGCCATCGGCATTGGGGGGCCCAGGGCCTCTGAACCCCGGAGCCCCACCTGGAGGCTATGCACCCGCCCCATTCCTCCACATCCTGCCTCACCAGCAACCACACTCACARCTGCTGCATCACCACCTAGCTCAGGATGGACAGGTATGTTTTGTTTATTTTTATTTTTTTATTTATTTTTTTTACAAAGTCCTCTCAGCAGTTCGTCATCAGTAAGGAGGATTAACGTTCTCGTTTCCTGCCGTTGTTCAGGGTGGTCCGAGTCAGCGCGGCCAGTCCAGCAGCCTGCAGCAGAAGAGCCAAGTCAACAAGTCGAGCTACGGCAGCTCCCCTTACTGGGCCAACTGAGACGGCAACACCTGCCGTGTGTGTGCGTGTGTGTGAAACACGCACGCACACACCAGCCGATCTGATGAGATGATAGAGAAACAAAACATTTTTACAGACTAAGCTAACACACACACTACCATCCCCTCCCCTTTGCTCTGTATATCTCATTTTCAAATTAATGGCTGTTGTATGTAAAATATATTTATGTATTTATACAGTATATATGTATTGGTAGGACATAAAATGTGGTTTTCTGCATTGTTTTTATTTTGAAGGACATTTTATTTCGAAAACAAAAAAATGTGGAAAGATGAGAGTGCTAAATCATGGAGATAAAGTTGGTGAATATACTTGAACACAAGCATCTTGTGATGTGGATTCTTTTCTTTTGTAYGCATACATGAACTGAGAATGGTGTACATAAATTATACACATCATTTTCACGGCAAAGGCCTTTTTTTATTTTGGAATTTTATTTTATTCTTTTGTAACAGGTCACTCTCGTCTGTGAATCCTTATTCGGAGAGTGACTTTCTTTTYTTCCTCCCTTTTTCTTTCCATTTTGTCTCTCATTCCTGAATCTTTACTAGTTGGTTGGTTTGACCAGCCAGGCCTTGGATTTGATGTCATTTTAACCCTTGTTGTCCAAATTAAACATTATGAAGTTTCCATGGATCTGGAATCAATATTTACATTTTCACTACAAATCTTCATTCACATCTATCACGTCGAAGTTTTAGACAAGGGTCCTCATGGGCCACCATCCTGCAGACTTTTTCTGCTCCAACACATCTGATTTGAATGAATTAACAGGCTTCAGGAGAACTCGAAAATATCATTTAACCACTGAACCAGGTGTACTGAAGCAGACACAAAACATCCAGGGTGGTGAGCATCGAGGACCAGGACTAGACGTCCTCAGAGAATAGTTCAGGCAAATTTGATGAGCATTTAGATGTTTTTATCAGGACTTTTGTACATTTGGATAAAAATATTTAGGTAGAGGACAAAATACCTTATAAAAAGACAAAAACGTATACTGCTGAAGCGACTAATTTACTAAGACATTGCTGGTTTGGGCACCACTGTGGTTTAGTGGTAAGTACTGGTCTTTTAAAGTATTCAAATTTCTACCGTCCAAAAACATGGATATTTGGCTGCCTTCAGGTCCAGTTCTTCAATAGATCTGTGATGTAGTGCCATAGTGCAGTGTCGGTACAGTCAGTGTTGAAACGGGTCAGTTGGGTACTTTTCTATTGACGTTCCAGTCTGGTTCCAGTTGGTGTGTTTTGGGCTGTAGGTGGAGGTGGATTTTGGGTTTGAAAAAAGTTATTGTGCAAAATGAGAGATGGAAACAAATTTGATAACTTCTGAAATTTTAAAAATTCGAATTAAAATTGGATGGAATCACGACCCAGGACACGATGGAGGGACTATGTCTCTCGGCTGGTCTGGGAACGCCTTGGAGTTCCCCCGGAGGAGCTCGAAGAAGTGGCTGGGGAGAGGGAGGTCTGGGCCTCCCTTCTGAAGCTGCTGCCCCCGCGACCCGAGGAAGACCCAGGACACGCTGGAGGGACTATGTCTCTTGGCTGGCCTGGGAACGCCTTGGAGTTCCCCCGGAGGAGCTCGAAGAAGTGGCTGGGGAGAGGCAGGTCTGGGCCTCCCTTCTGAAGCTGCTGCCCCCGCGACCCGACTCCGGATAGGCGGAAGAAAATGGATGGATGGAATCTCGACTTGTCACTGCTACAATTAACAAATCAGCTCAGACGCAACCAGTAACCCCACCCCCTAGCTAATCAGTGACGAAGTGTTCTGACGTTGCATTTTGACGTCAACTGGGACCGCTTGGAACCACAATGAAGTAGGTACTAAAAAACAGGTCTAGTTCCATAATTCTGACCTAATGGAAATGGCTTGGAACTGTACCAACACTACACTAAGTGGCACTAGTGGAAAATGGGTGGGATTTATGTGGTTAAATAACTTTACAAACTGGTCAAGTTTAAGCTTTTATTTACAAAAATATATACAAGGCATTTTGAGGCAAGTTAAAAAAGATACATGAGCTCCAAAGTTTCCCATGAAACATTTTGCAGTTGACTCCCAGCTTGTCATCCTGAGTACAACTTGAATTTGTTGTTTCCAATATTCTACAGGAAAACACGTTTCCCCATTTCAACAACCATGTAAGACGATGATTTTAGGACCAGCAAATAGGGTTGGGCATAATTGCATCGTGTGCAATTAATCRTCAGAAAAACAATCGATTACTTTTTGGCACTTGACAATTAATACAATGCCACCAGGCAGACTGACTGGGGATTACTCCGGTCAGTCTGCTTAGTGCTCCTCTCCGCTTCAAATATGATGAACATTAAAAATAAAGTTCTGTAATTTATTTGTTTTTATCAACACAATTTAAAATAATAGCCTGAAATCTGTAATTTTCAAACAATTTTTTACAAAAAGCAAATCTTTCCCACTAAATTAGTCATGTGACCAGGACGTAACGGTGTCCAGGGACTGCAGGGGATTAATCATCAAATTAATCGTTATCGGCTAAATACCACAATTAATCATGATTAATTTTTTTTGCCAATATTGCCCAACCCTACCAGCAAATGTACCAAAGTTGTTGCTTTTTAAATTTTGACACATTTATCTGTAGATTTTCATGATTACATGTCCACTTATAAGGCGGCAAAAACAGACATACGTTTACTGTAACTAGCTTTAGGTGAGTACAAAATAATTTTTGAACACCAAATAAATTCTGTTCAATCACTAATCTGCTGCTTCTTTTTTCTTYTTTTTCTTCTTCTTCTCAGACACAGCTGGTTCGGGGCTTTCCTCCGGATCTATTGTTTCAGTCTTTTGTTTCTTTTTCTTCTTGGCTGGAGTTTCCTCCACTTCGTTGTCCTCCTCTTCCTCCTCAGCTGCTCGTTTCTTTTTCTTCTTCTTCACTGCAGGTGCCTCAGCTTCATTGTCCACCTGTTGCGACACCCCCCCAAAAATTTATATGAATAAACATCAGAGAAAGGCAGGTGATTTTCACAGTGACACTGATAAGAGCGGTTTAAATGTGCGACTCTCTTCAGTGATCTGACCCACTAATGGGACCAGTCAATGGTTCGGAGTCGAGATAATTTGGCATGTCGTACACTGAGAAAGGACCACCAGTGGGTCAAGTCTCAAATCAAAACATGCTGGCGCACACACTGAAAAACYAACATTTACCTCAGCTTCACCATTCGTTTCCCCGTTTGACTGAAGCTCCAGTGACTTCTTGTCACGCTTTTTGCGTTTCTTCTCCTTTTTCTCCAGTTTACGTTTGATCTCTGCTGTAACATCAGAAGCCTGAGACAAAAACCAAGAGAACAATTAAACAAAATGTGGGACTAACTTTTATTCTTGTGATCTAAAAACGCTGTATCAGGCTCATTAAATCATTTTTTTACCCTCACTGTGATGTCAGGAAAAGAATGTCATCATTTACAGCATTAAACTGAAGAAACTACATTGTTTACACATTAGGTCTAATTTCTAACCTCTTTCACGGCCTCCTTCATGACGTCCAAATTTTTCCGGGGCACGTCGCCAGTCTCGTAGAAAGTTAAACGCTCCTCCACTTGCTCACGAAGCTTGTCACCAAATACGCTTGTTGGTACCTCTGGAACAAAGAAAAGGAATTTTAAAAAAAAACAGCGAACAGCAGCAGCGAGCTACACCAGGTCTTCAAAAACACATGGGTGTGCTCAGGAAAAAGCATCTCAACATCAACCCAAGGGATGAATACTGTTGACGAAAAATTTGAGCATCATTGCAGTCACGCCACATGCAAYTGACCGAATCAAAGCAGACGCCAAAGTTCAGCTTCACTCACCTGAAAAACAGTCAATACGGGAGGCGATGGTGCACTTGTTCGCCAGGTATCTGGAGATGCGCCCTTTGTTCTTGGCAGCCGCACGTCCGATAAAGGTCGAGTGGAAGATGAGGCCGTACTTAGGGGTGTTGCCTCGCGTCTTCAGGGCTCTGTGTGGAAACGACTGATTTCACACTCGGGTTGAAAGGAAGTCGATAAAAGACGTTAGCAAGAGAAAATGAAGCTACAGTGATTCAGTGCCGCCGACAGCAGATCAGTTTTAGAAACACACTCTTTATACTTTGTAAGAAAGAGGCCTGGACAGACTCAGCTGTTTGTGGTTGACAGGCTCACAGTTTTTTGTGAATTACCGTATTTATTCATGTATAATACGATCTCATGTATAATATNACTTAATCCTCAAACTACTTCCAACTTCATACAGACTTCATGATGCCTTTGCAGTCTTTATACATATCAGTAAAATGATCATTGGACTGTTCATTTTATTTTAACATATGTACTAAAAGGTATTTTGACAACAAATATAGATCAGCTGTAACAGCATCATATGAATTCTGACATTTTACACAGTCCACCAGGATGCGCCAACACAAAAGTCAGAGACTTCACRTGAGATTTGGACCACCGTGTGGGGGAAAATTCCCCCCAATTTCCCTCTGGGATCAACCTAATTTCCCTCTGGGATCAAAGTATTTTTGAATTGAATTGAAAAGCAGATTACTTCCTACTCGCGAGCGCCCCCTCTGGTGGGGAAACATTTTTTCAGGGATACAAACTTTTTCAGAACACCAGTAGACGGCAGCCATTACAGACGAACATGTGTTTGTTGTTCGAGGAGCGGCAAGTCACACGCTAATGTCATTAGTTCACTATCATTACTAAGATGCAGGACTGCTTTCCCCCTTTTTTCACATCATGTCGCCTGCCTGGATCTATTAACTTGCTCTGAAGCACAGTGGAGGGGGTCAGAGGTAAGCTCGTTTCAACTGCTTTTTACGACGCAGTCTCATTTCTGGACTCAATAATTTTGTGAATGAAGCCAATATTTCAGTTAAAAACATAAGTAAAAATATTTATCAGAGCATAGTACTACCCCCCAACTTTATGGATGATTTTATGGATTTAATTTTACGTAATACACTTGAATAAATACGGTAATRTTAAATCAAAACCTTTTAAGAAACCAAGTCAAATGTAAAGAAACCATGTCGCAATTGATTTAAGCCAAATTTTAAAGTAATTTCTTAAATCTGTTATCTAAAATAAAATCCTAATCCTGAGATAAGAAATGCTTTTAAAGCAGTTTTATAAGTATTTCCAGTTCTACCTCTGTGATGAGAGTGGGTGCTCAGACTGTGGGGGGTGCATAGGGACAGGAGGGATCACTCTAAAGAAGACGTCACATTTGTTTTTGTCTTCTCCAGTCACCCTGCTCTGCTGCAGCCCAGCCCTGCCATCACTGCATCCACAGGTTTCCCCAGCAGGGAGGGGGTGCCCCAGTACCTGAACAGGGCCTTTTCTGCTCCCAGAATCTGAACCGTGGATGCTGGGTACTTGGCCAGGTTGGTTAAGCTGCCAGCATGGGAGATCAGACGAGCCCCAACCTAAAAGAAAACAAAGTCAGTCTTGCGGAGACACTTTACAGAAGTGTACAATTTTGACGCAATTTGAGGACCATCAGCACCAGATGTGTTTCTCATCACACAGATTCAGTGGATTGACAGATTTTGGTTCAACATCATCGGTCCCACATGTTCAAACTTGTGCTCACCACTTCTCCAATTAAGGCCGCCAGGTTGGGCGCCACCTGRCTCATCTTAGAGCGCAGGTATTCTTGTAGCTCCAGCCGATAGGAGGCCAGAGAGACGACACGATTTGAGAACCTCTCTATGTTGATCAGGTCAATGGGAGAGATATCCATACCTACAACACAAAGAAAAGATACGAGCAGAGGAATATTTATCTTCAACTTGGTTCCATGGGCCGCAGTTTGATTGTTTCTCCCGACAGGATCCGCAGCGAGGATTTGTGCCTTCACTACAGGTTTATGAGAGAGTTACTCTACCCCCCTGTGTTAGGCACCAAGGACAATTATTAGTCCAGGGTGGGCAAAAAAGGGGCACGAGCATATACATAATCTGGATCAGACGGTTTTCTCACCCATAGAGGAACGAGATGCATCCAGAATGGCCTGAGCCTTGGCACCGTCCATGACTATTTCCTCCAAGCTTTCCAGATTCTCCTCAGACAGYTCCTTCCTGTTGCCAATCAGCTGAGCCACTCGACAGTACATGGAGTTTTCTGGCACAATTTTGATCAGCTCTGGAAAGTGGTAGCCGTACCACTCACTGTAAACAAATCACAAAGCAGGACATTTACAAAACCCCCACATGGAAACACAGTTGAGAAACAAGTCAAGTAAACGCAGAAGGCACGTTGTCTCACCCAACAGTGTTGAACTAACTGACATTAGCTAGAACAGCTCAAGTGTTAGGAGAGGTTCATGTTCCTCCTGTTTCTATACAGACAGCACGCTGTGGTTCTCTGTCTGTGGTAAGCATTAGGAGGACACGTAAACATAATTGCTTCAACGCAACAACAATTTTCCACAAACCTACCGGACACGCATAGAGAAAGTGTTGATGTCTTTGTCGAGCTGATCCAACAGAGCAATGGACTGGATGATCATGTTGTCGGCCCTGTTGACGTTAAACTTGACTTTGGCTCTTGAGTAGCTGTGACCGAGACCCAGCTGGGCCTTGGAGGCCGCCTGGGCAGTCAGACCCTTCACCAGTGAATGAAAGTGCAGACGTATACCTGTCAGGATTATAACGATAGGTGAAATGGGGGTCGCTGGCTTTGAGGAAAACAATGAATACCAGCAGTTTCTTCATGGCTGTTCAGATTTTCAGTATGAACCTTCATGAATTTCAGGGAATGCTTTATCACATCACAACAGGCCACAGATATAACATTAATTCAGGCTCGTTGCATCTAATAAGTAAGCTATGACCTCACCTCGTATAATTTCAGCAACAACCCCACCGGTCTGTATAGACATGTTAAATTCTTCTTGAAGAGCAGCTCCGATCTTGGCGTCAGAAACCCCCAAGACYGCTTTCTTCTTCCCAGACTGGGGGACATTCGTCTCCAAGAACAACTTGAGATCGGCGTGAACCACACCTGTGCACAAGAAAAATCATTTAACATTCAGTCAAATTTCACCTTTAATGCATGTGTGCAGACAAAAAATAAAGGATATCTTTCCTCAGATGTTCAGGGTTGACATTAGTTTGTCATCACAGTGAGTCAGTGGATTGACAGATTATCATGCATCACGACAACTGAGGAAAGCTCAAACTTCAGCGCTAAAACACCTGCCTTCAGAAATGGCGTTCATGTTCTCCAGGGCAGCCTGAGCCGACTTGAAGGGGAAGAAGGCTGCCAGGCTCACCATGCTGTTGAACTTGCCGATGCTCTGCACGCTCTCCTCCACCTGTGGAACAGGACAGAAACCATGACGCTCTCTGCTCTGAGCGAAACCTCAGCGGGATCAAAGCAGCAGCAGACGCTCACCTGAGGCAGCAGCATGCCGATCTCCTCCACCTCTCTGACGGCGAACAGCGCATAGCCCGCCGCATGCTCGAACAACACATGTAGGAGTACCTGCACGAGGTAAAAAAAACAGGCTTGAGGATTAAATGAATAAAAGGCTACCACAGATCTAGACTAACTTTTTTGCACTGGTTGCATCGGTGCATCTAACATTTTTTCTTAGGCCCACCAGCACAAAAGTTAGGTGCACCCAAATTTTCAACCACGTCGCATTTAACAGAGTTGTACAGGTTATTTTTTTAATCACTGTTCATTAAGGCAATATTAACTCAAAAATAATTAGTTAACAATCTAGTAAACATGAAGTTCTTCATTTGAACCAGAATTGTAGACATTTAACTTACTGAAAAGTATTTAAAGTGATTCTATAAAATTCTAAGTGCAAATGTTTAAGGGCTGAATGTCTTATAAACATCTTAAAACATTTCATGGTTAAATGTTTTTTTTAGACACATGCCCCTCAGATGGACAACTTCTGTAGTTTGGCCCTATGGATCTCTGGCCTTGGATAAATTAGAATGATGAAGAGAATATTGATTAATAACGAAAATATTACTGACATTCATTAAAAGGTTGTGCTGACTTTTTTAAAAAATAACACCACATAGAAGTCTGCAATTTCATTAGCATTAGTTGAATCTTATTATCTTATATTATTTCACTTATATATCTGTCTAGTTTTATCCTCCTGAGACCAAGAATAACAGATTTCAGATACYTGGAATGTAACTGTGGTGAAACCGATTAAGTGCAAAAGCGGCCTGCCATAACCAATAGATATGTTGTCGAACCTATCCATACACAGAAAATGAATACGAAGTCTGCACGTGGTCACCAGTGAGGCACAGGTCAACTTTAATTCGGGTATGTTGGCCAAGCTGCGTAACATTACTACATAAAACTACTACATTATTTGAAATTAATACGTGGCCAGTACTTAAAGGACAAAAAAAACAAAAATCCGTACGTGACCACGTCGTCTTGACGAACCCACGTGTTCATCTTGGCCTACACGAGTGTGCCATAAGCTAACATGCTTATGCTAACCGCTCAAATGAAAATCACATTGTTGTTTCGTTTCATCAAGCTCTACTATTTTTACCCACACGGCTGTCCAAAACAGCCAATACAGTCGGGAATATCTGTTAACTTATCGAAGAGATAACTTGTTTCACTCCTGCCAAGTTAGCTAAGGAGGCTAACTACTTACTCCGATGCTAAAGGCCTTTTGTCTAAACAMTTAATGTATCAAACAATCTTCCCTAAAACTCATCCGTATGAAGAACCTGCATCTGTATTGTCCAAATAAAAGTTTCCAAGCAAACATTAAGAGGTATGTGAACTTCTCTTACCATGTTTGCAAAATCTCTGCAGCAGCACGCAATGTGCGTCTGCTTTACTTGCTTCACCCCACGAGAAAAGAGACCAGCAGCACGCAGCAATCAGGCARGTTGAACAAAACACCGCGAGATCGCTTTAATATCGCGAGATTTGAAACTGACGCTCTCTGTGGTATGTAAAGTGCATTCTGAAGTTTACTTTTTAACCCACAGACCAAAAACCTTTGCTGTTTTTCAGCATTCTGTTTAATTATAATCATTATCAAAATTAATAATTTTGATAGAAAGTAACTTCAAATTACAAAAAAGAGGTATAGTATATACAGAAATGCATGCATAAAAAGCAAACCAAGTGAAATAAAACAAAGATTGTACAATAAARTAAACATGTGAGACGCAAAACATACACAAGATCAATAAAAGTACAGTCTTGTGGAGTACCTTTCTGTAATTTGTTTAAAGTTTAATTTTGGCAACATTTGTTACAATTTTCATTGTTAGGCTTAAAGTCAATGTACAATACTCTCGAACGAGTGGCTGATTTTGATGTACATTTTGTTTGAGATTTTACAAAGCTGTGGAGGAGTAGCATAGAAAGCAGAACACTAGCTACAAGCTTTAGAAAAAGGCAAATTGTAAGCTAAAAAACACAGGAGAAAAGTATTAAAATCAAAGTAGCAAAAGAAGACAAGAACAACGTAAGTATGTTGAAGCAATTACAAAGCAAACAAACATATTTTAAAACGCTGATAAAACATCAAATGCTAAGTGATGGAAAAATGTCCAAGGTGTTTCTGCGTCATTGTGATGGTTTTATACAAAGTACCACAAAAGACACACAAAGCTGTCCTCATGTACTTGAGTTGCCAAACAGGATGATGGTGATACTTTAAATGGCCTCTCCATCAGAGGATGCCTTGCTGCCAAGCAGGAAAACATTTGAGAGTCATATCTAAAAAAGCACCAATAAAAACTGTTCAGAGTTATGAAGCTCTAAAGCAACACATGTATGATGGTCTGTATTTGCACAAACAGGAGTTATAAACGTCACTTTGTGTTGGATAATAACATAAGAAAAGAATTTATGATGGGTCCCTGTGAACACATTGTCTCGTCTGTCTCATTCAAAATAATAAAAGCTTAAGGAAACAATTTCTCTTTCAGTCAGCACTTTGTTTTTATGGCCACACATGGCAAGAMGATGATCAATATCTATGTGCTTGTTTGTCTGTTAGCAAAATATCCCATAAATCAGTGGATGTACTTTAGTGAAATTCAAAGTAATCCCTGGTTGTGCATGTACAACTTATTATCTATTGGAGCCCTAATTTAAGGTGGCTATAATTCAATTAGTTTGACAAATTTGGAGCTAATATTTAGCATGTTTGCAGCTGCTAAACGATGACACAATATTTGTCTAGAAAATGTTGGCATTACCATTACCTGTCTGTTAGTAAAATATCTCATGGGTTACTGAACTAATTTGAATGAAATTCAAAGTAAACACTGAATGTTTATTGACAAGCTTTTAGTCTTCTGAGTATAGGTGTGTTTTTTTTTACAGATATTTCACTAAAGTTTTATGTGTTAGAACAAAACAAAACAAAGCTTGCAACGTTGCGTAATACTGCACATAATTTCAGTCATAAGTTTTATRTATGAGGGTTTTTGTACAATAATAACACAAACAGCAGAATGTAATTTATAGAGGACTACACTGGAGCAAACCCATCAGTGTGTCTGTTAGCTGACGCCATTACTTCAACAAACTAACAAACAAATTCCTGAGTAACATCTGTGTTTCCAGGAGCATGGAGGAGAGTTCTTGAAGGAGCCTCTCGAGGAGCGGATGTGTAGGAGGACYGTGCCAAGCTGTCAAGAACGGGAGAAGGCCTGATATAAAGGAGGACCGTGGACGAGCTGACCCTCAAACCCGGTGGAGTCCTGCTCGTCTGAAAACAACAAGTGACCGAGGCTGACACAGCACGTGAGTAATAGATGGTTTCCTCTGCCTTTCTGTCTCCCCAGGTTTCCCTTCACACTCTGTTGTCTCACTTCTGTCTTTGACGTCCTCCGGTCACCTTCTGTACGCTCAGAACAGATGTTTTGTGAGCATGGCTTCCTGTGTCTTATCATCTGACCCCTTTTCCCCTTCCCTATCCCCTTTATCTATTGACCAACTTCTCCCTTTGATAAACCTGGCAACCCTGGCGTCCTTCTCTCAGCTTTTATCACTGAGTTTCCCCCTTGCTCCTCCTGTCAAATGGAGATCTGTTTACACCATCACGTCTCCCTCTTGAACAGTGGCGGAGCCAGACATTTTTCTCAGGGGTGGCCAGACTGGGACCACTACTCACACAGGGGTGGCCAGGAAAATGACATTTTTTTTTACTTGAAAGTTTCTGCAGATCTTTGTGTTTTGGTCATTTCCTTATGTCCTTATACGTGACTACCTTATAAACATGGGCATCAGAACCATTTTAAAAGCGGGGGGACACACTGTTGGGGGGTCTGGGGTTCCTCTCCCAGAAAATTTTGGATGAAATAGATGCCATTTCCTGCATTCTGGTGTATTTTACTAAGTTGTTAATCAAACTTTTACCTACTTAAATTAACACTTGATTTAATTATTTCAGAGACAGATTTTTTCATTAAACTAGTTCCATCATCCTGTTATTAAACTCACTGCTACATCTGAGATAAGATTAATTAATGTCACACAATTTATCATATCCAATGACTTTAGGGGCACTTTTTATTTTTTATATTATTTATTAATTTATTTTTAATTGTAACACATGCCATTGTGCGAAATAATGATGACCCTCAACTGCATGTTTAAAACTAACATTATAAACTTTACCCAATGAATTTAGTGAGTTTAGAGGGGTGTTTCACTTTTTATGATTTAGTGATAGCTCTACTCATAATAAACACCGAGCATCATGCAGCCTTCATAACATAAAATGACACTGTTATGGTTACAAAAAAAAACTTTTATCACCCTAAGTCCATAAGTTGACACCATAACCAGATTACAGGCATATGTTCTGTATATAAATAAAATCATCACTTCCTTGTCATTACTCTTCTTCAGGGATAGAGCTTGGTGATGTTTCAAACTGCTAAACACTGCCACCAACTGTTCAGGAGGATTATTACACCCCTAAAGGTTATTTCACTGCGTAAGGGGTGTATACAGCAGGGTGGCCAAGGGGGTGGCCAAAGATATGTCAATGGTGGCCATGGCCACCCCTGGCCACCCCCTGGCTCTGCCCCTACCCCTGAATGACACACACAGTGCGTGGGACTTGGGTCCAGGGCCACTCACAGCGCAGAACGTTCCATCTTTATGCAGATGTGCAGCAAAAGTGTGTGTGATGTGTGCGTGCAGGTGAGCGCAGGATGAGCATGCGTGGAGCCGTGGCTGGTTGCGTGGTGCTGGCGTGCCTGGCAGCGCTCCTGGTGGAGAGGACAGAGGGACACATCACGTTCTTCAGCCCCAAGGAGATCCTGCTGATGAAAGTAAGCAGCTTTTAAATTTTTGAATTCATGGGTTATTATAAACTAAATGTCTCTATATTTTTTGAATAAAAGAGCACAGTAAATAATAATAATAATAAAGGCCTAGTATCTCTTGAATGAATGCATACTGCCTGCTGCCTTTCATGCCAAAGTTGAAGACTAAAATTATCACAAGTTGAAAAGTGACTAGGTTGTAGCTAAAGGCCCTGTCACATTGGAACATTTTAAATAACTTTTGCCAACTTATGAAACATTTTTTAATGTTTAAATTACTAATAAAAGTTATATATTTGATCAATTTTTTAGCATTGCAGTATTTACAGGCCTAGAGGCTTCCACTTGTTTTTTTAAATTCCGTCTTCAACGTAATGTCTTTAAAATGCTTATAATTTGTCTAAAATGTTGTGGGCCTTAATGTGCAATCTCATGCAATATCGTGGGGCATCATGCTCAGAGTATATGTTGAGGATGACTCTCAGTTACTACCACGTCAAATTTTAGCTCCATATCTTTTATTTTTTTAAAACTTGTCCTGTCCGGCTGTGTGGCACTCAGAATTATAATCTGAGCRTCATGGTATGGCCCAACAGATTTGCTTTCACAAGTGGAGCATTTTGGCTTTCGCCATAATGCTCCACTTGGTAAATGAAACTATTAGAAATAATATTGGGCCTATTTCAATTATAACTGACAGAAAGACAAGTATAAAAAAGAAGAAAGAAAGGGAAAAAGGGAAAGAAAGGAACAAGAGTTACAATGCAATGGAGAAAAGGTGAAAGAAAGAATCGAAAAACATGCAAGATATACAACAATACAACACAACCAACAACTGTCTGCACACCTGCAAAACAAAAAAAATAAGGTAACAAAACTTAGCAAAAGCATACATATATACATTTACACAAATAAACATATACCATATCTTTTAATTTTACTAAGTTGCAGCCATTTATGTGTTGGCTAATGTTCATTACATATGGTAGCCATCTTGAATTGGGTTGACTCCAAATGTTAATCAGTTATAGACGTCCATCCAATGATTACTTTCTGAAGGTTTCATTACAATCTGTCCACTGGTTTGTGAAATATTTTGCTAACAAACAAAAAGTGTTGACTACAACAATTAATGCTTACATTTTAAGCATATATCTAGCAGAATAAGTAGCCCTCTGAGTATGTGCTGTGAAAGACTCTCAGCTACTATCATATCAAATTTTTGCATGATATCTGTAAAACTGACTGAATTACAGCAATTTTTGTGTTTTAAAAGTTTGCTCAGCTTTTGCAGCCATCTTTAATTGGTTTGGCTCTATGAGTTGAAGAGCTGCATAGGTACATCTAGACATTACTTTTTGAGAGTTTCAATAAAATATATCCAGTGGATATTTTGCTAACAGACAGACAGACTCAGTCAAAAACATTACAACCCGATTGGTGATGGGGACTAGATAAAGAACTGTGTGTGTGTCTCATTTAGTTGTTTCATCCCTTCTTTTTGTCATGTTAAGAAACAAAATTAAAGATTTATATATTAAAACATGCATATTCATTTTTAGTTCTTCATAAATAAAAAAGTAAAAAAGACACTCCTCTTTTTTTGACCGTTTCTTCTGTTTGTTCAGGAGAGAGAAGGTAAGAAGGACATGGAGCCTCGATCAGAGGACGGTCAGTTTGAAGACATCACCGTTCGGCAGGCTCCTCTGATGGAGCGAGATGGAAATCCTGTGAGCGCGCACACCCCACACCAACTTCACTACCTGTCCCACACAGCCACTGAACAGGGGTCATTCACACTTGTTTCTCTCTCTCTCTCTCTCTCTCTCTCTCTCTCTCTCTCTCTCTCTGTGTGTGTGTGTGTGTGTGTGTCCAGGAAAACACACTGGAGCTCGATGTCCGTCTTTCACCCAAACAGCTGGATCACATGGCTCCGGTGCTGAAAGACATCATCCACGACATTGTGGAGCAGCGCCAGAAAGGTTTGTGGTACAAGACACCATGTGTGAGATTGAAAACAAAGTATTTGTTTGGAAAAGTAAAACTTTTTTTTGTGTGATTATGTTTCTCTGCAGCCAAATAATGAGGCCACAAAGAGGATACACACTCTGTAAATTCTTCAGGGGGAAAAAAAAAATCACAAGATGCTTTGTTTATTTGTGCTTAAATGAATCATTTAATAAAAGGAAAGTGACTGTGTCATTTGAGTTTCCGCTGTGATTTTTCAGAGGAATATTACTGCTGTATGATGTGTTCTGCATCTACTGGAAACTCTAATGTTTTCATAGAATTACTTCCAGWCGTGCTCTGAAGTGTGGGTGAATCAAAGTACAAACACTGGGACATTGCGTAAAATGTGAAAAATAAACTTAAAGACGAGTTCATGAGATTTGCAAATCATTACGTTGCRTTTTTTGTACCATTAAAAATAAAAAAGAGATTACTTTGAACTCGATGGTAGCAAAACACTTCAAAGAAGACAAGCTTATTACAATGAAGTATCCTCTTTGTTTAAAAAAAAATGTAAATATGTAGAAACTGAGGAGGCCAGCTGCTAGAATTATTCAAGACCTTCCCTGAAAAAGACATCTGGATTGGAGCAAATGTTCAAAATCTGTATGCTTTTCTGTGTTGGTGTCTTTCCAGATCTAGAAGCTGCCCATGCCAGCGGCAGTAATGCACACCCATACCTTAAGAGAGGCACGCATTTGAACTGTGTTCTGATAACAGGTTGAATTACCCCTGTTAAGTACAGAGGATGTGGTTTCCATAAAGAATATAACATTTTGATTTGTCTGATGACAGAACAGTGTTTTCCTCTTTGATTCAGTTCATTTTAATGAGTTTCTTTGAGGAGACGGCTGCCCTTTACATAATAGGGCATTATTGAAAGTGTTCATGAGTCCGTACAGTAATTTCCATAACAAAATCAAAGAATGTTTTTAATTTTAATGCAGTGGTCCCTGGGGCCCAGAAAAATCACAAGCATCCAATACAGCCTTTTGAGATTTAATGTCAGATTTTTYCAGAATCTTCCAGAATTTTATTTACAAAACATGTAATGTATTAAAATTTGTGACATTTAAGTAACTTTAAACATGTAATGCAGTGATAGAAAACAACACATCAGTCCAGCAGATCAGGAATAAAGAACATCTTCACAGTTCACCAGATTATTTCAGTCCAGTTTGTTTCAGAGCTTTGACGTCAGCCTCTCACAGAACTCAAAGTCCTTGACGGCGAGGGCAGCGTCTCGAGCTAAAGGGGCAGGAAGGACCAGAGAGCAGTCGCTGTCGAAGTACTTCCCAGTCACTCCTTCGAGTTCTTCTGACACGGCGCAGTAGATGGGGCTGACTGCACCCTCTTCTGGTGACTGGCAGGAAGACAAAAAGGTGTAAACATAATCCACTTTCTGGGACAGGAAAGACTGACACGTGTCAATTTTACCAAAAGAAATCCAAATATCAGTTCAAAAATAAAGTTTTGAAAAACTGTGATGCTCATCAATCGTATCGAACTACAAGGGCTGCAAGTTGCTGTTGAAGAAATTTAAAAACTCTCAGAATAATATCTTATAATCAGAGAAGACCAAAGTGTTGAGCACGATTGTGGAAGACCGATGATTTGGGGCCTGGGTTGCCATGTTATGGATGTATGAAAATCTACAGAGGGGTTTATCAGATTCACATTGTTGTTTGTGAGCTCAACAGATGTTTCAGGTTATGATGTTTAACCACAGCGAATCATGAAAATACATTAGCTTGACCTCACTTGATTTACAAATCTGGTTTCCATTTGGAGTTTCAGTTTTGGCTGCTTGATTCTGTTTCGACGCGTATTGTGTTTTGTGGCCATCGACCTGTTGGAATTTTGGCTTCAAAACCAAAGTTTTTCAAACCGTTTTGGACAGTGCTTTAGATTCAAACAGTGTTCCTCAAATGACAAATTACCAACTACAGCTCATTTTTGTTTCATTTTGAGTATTCTCCTAAAATAACTTGAAGTTGTTTTACTGAATTAAGAAAAACTTGTTTCTCCAAACCATTGCTGTTTGCTACTTTTCTCCTCACCTGGATCCATTTTCTTCTGCGCAGTAACCGTCCATCTGTTTTACAGCAGTCAAAGTTCTGTTTTATCTTTGATTAATTGCCGGCTGACCTTGAGCTTGGTTTATTTCTCAATATCCTTGAAGTCAGATAAATCTCAAGTTCTGAGTATTGACAGGAGAAAAACTGAACAACGGATTCATTCGTGGTCTGCACATGCTCATTGTCAAATGTTCCTAATGTTTTGCTGCACTGTTGGGGGGAAAAGCTAACATTTTACAACAGGACCGCATGCCTTCAATCTGAGTCCTGTTTTCTTGGTATGTGAGCACCAGTTTAACAGAAACAGTCTACTGTGCAACAATAGAGGCATCAAGTCAACATTTAAAAAGAAATGGTGTGAGTGGGGCTGTTTGGTGAAACAGTCATACACTTACTTTAAAAAAGAAAAACCCAACGGTGTTAAAAATACAACGAAGCCAGAGTGAATAGTGTCTCATCACCTCTGTCTTGACAACACCAGGGTGGACAGAGTTAGCAGTGACACCTGTGGAGACATAATCAGAGAAGTACATGCAGACATGCATCATACCAAAGTTACATAAAGTTGTCAAGTAACTAAGTAAAAATACTTTACTTTACTTAAGTAGAAATTTTGTTTTTTTRTACTTTAGTGGAGTAATTATTTTTCAGCCTACTTTTTACTTCTACTCCTTACGTTTTAATTCAATTATCTGTACTTTCAACTCCTTACTTTTTAAAAATGCAAAAAGTATTCCATTTCTATTTAACTTTGACTTGTTTTTATTCCATCTTTTCATTGTTCAGAAAAAAATTATAAATAAAAAAATATCCAGACACATGGAGCCCACGGATAGAGTGAATTTGATTGTGGTTGGATGACAAATAAATACCATTCTGACATCCTGTTGGATTGAATGCACTCATTACACCTTTAACACACAAATCACATCACATTCCAGCAGGACATACTGTAGCAGAGGCATGTAGCCTAGAATGAAGATGATCGTGGCTGAAACTAGTCTAATCAGTTAATTCAAATTGTTCAACACTGACATTTTAATTTAACAATAAACTCATTATTGACTTGTGAGCCATTTTGTTATACCACTAGTAGGCCCTCCGTCAAACGTAATGATRATTCTCCAAAACTGTAATGTACAACAGCTGTTTATTAAATGAAAATGATTTATTTAACTCCCTAGGACATTTAATTCTCAGGCATTTTATTCTTTTCAACTCAAATTAAACAAAGATTAAAATGTTACCTTCAAAGTGAATAAGTAATTAAATAAATAAACCAGGTGATGGCAGGTTAAAGAAGCAGCAGTGTCCAAAATACATCAGTAACTCGCCCAAATGAACAAATTCCATCAGATTCTGCACTTTATACTGGATTCCATTTTGTGTTAATTCCATGATTCTGTCTACATTTTCTACATTGCAGAAATTATAGGGCCCTACATATCCCATGCCTATTTTTATTTATTATTTTGCACACTTGGGAAATTTTTCCACGTACCCACTGTTAATATGCTCGTGTACCCCTGGCTGGAAATTACTGCGCAAGAGAACCCTGAGGCACAGCCTAAGCTTTTATCCTTAAYGGCATTTTTTAAGTGTTCATTACTTTTACTTTTATACTTTAAGTAGTTTTAAAACGAGTACTTTCATACTTTTACTTGGGTAAAAAGCTTGAGTYGATACTTCTACTTCCAAAAAAGTATTTTTAAACCCTAGTATCGATACTTCTACTTAAGTAATGAATGTCAATACTTTTGACACCTCTGCATAGAAATAACAATGACTCAGCAATAAATCCATACACATATCGTATYTTCCACTGACACTATTCTAAAAGATTTTGCTGCAGTGTTGGTTATTTATCTGAGAAAAATATGCAAATATAGGTATAGTWAAGTACCTGTGACATCCAATTTTCATAATAAATATGGATGCGTTTTTGGGAACACAACATTAACATTTTGCAGAAAGAAAATTCACGCTGCTGGGATAAATAGTTCTTGAGATATTCACGTGTGAAGTAAGTGATGACAAAGGGGGATGTCTGCAACAGAGCGTTGCTACAGTAATTACATAGACAGTAAAGAAAACTCTGATGTTTTTTTAAGATTATTTTGAGTCACTATCAAAGAGATGATTCAGAATTCAAATAATGTTTCACTAAACAAAGACCAGAGAGTTCTCTTCTTTAAAGAGTTCCCCTTTGATGTCACTTCCTGTTTCACTTTGGCTGAGCTAAGTTCAAAAGACGTCACACCCACTTTAAATGGGAGCTGATGATGAAAAGATTGAAACAATCAAYTGTTCTTGGCAGCTGAAGTTTATAGCAGGGCACAGACAGTGTTAGCTGCAGGCTTTATGGGCAATAGGCTCTGAGTTTTAACTACGCAGGAAGAGGAATTCAAAAACATATAAAAATATAAAAAATCTTCGCTGTTTATTTGTTTTTAGATGCAGTTCCGCTTAATGTCTTGGTTTTTAGCCCACCTGTGTTACTTAGCCTGCGCGCCAGCTCRTTGGTACAGATGATGTTGTGTAGCTTAGTGTTGTTGTACACATTATCCATGAAGTGAACAAGGTTCTCGCCATGAAAATGAGAGAAGTCCACCTGACCTCTATGGTGGTTGGTTGAGCTGACGGTAACGATACGGGCTGGGGCCGACTGCTTCATCAAGTCTGAAGCAAAAAAAAAAAAAAAAAAAAAAAAAAAAAAGAGAGAGAGAAATTAGGTATATTATCTCAATAAGATGATGTTGAGGAACCATAATTTCTGATCCTTGACACAGTTGGTGTTTTACAGAGAGGACATCCAGTCTTACCCAGCAGTAAGTTGGTGAGCAGAAATGGTCCCAGATGGTTGGTGGCGTAAGAAGCCTCAAACCCATCTTTGGTGATTTCTCTGGGCAAACCTGTTAAAAATAACAAGTGGCCCAGAACAATCAGTTATTCTTCTGTAATTATGCAGACACGAGTAGTGGATTAAAATAGAACCATCGCTAAACACTAGCAACAACAAGAACAAAAATAAAACTTTACCCTTGTGAAACAATTTCATCACTTCACAGGGGTGTGTAACCCCCCCCC